ATCGGGCCCCCGGGCCTTAGTTTGTCCATGTTTGTATAAACCCATTACACGACACATTATGCGACTTCCGAAGTCCGAACGTAATATCTTCAAGATCTATCACACAACATTGAACTATTCTTAGAAATATATATTTATTCTAGTGTCATCAAAGAAACAGTACAAACAACAAGATTTTACAGCTATGCCAACAAATGCAGCCACATAAAAAGTGAACACTTGCAGGGTTTACATATTTAAATTCTAAACTATAACAGGTGGCATGTAAATAAATTCTGTGAAAGAACAAGAGACCACTGTCTGTCTACCAAACCAGAACACGCCCTGAACGGACGCCAAGGTTTCTTCCATGGTATGAACTCATACTCGTCATTTTGACACGGCCACCGAGGGAGAGAGGGAGAGCGAGAGAGAGTGAGTGTCTATGTATGTTTATATGTTTATTTATATTGTATGTAGTATAAATGTGTGTGTGTGTATATATACATATATTTTTTTTATATATACAAACAAGCATACATATGTGTATATATGTATATACATTCAGTTTATACAAGTATATGCATACTGTACACATATACACATTAATACATATATGCTATATATATATTTTACAAACCTTTGGATATATTTAAACATGCATATATGTAAGTCCATATATACACTATATCTATGTAAATATGTAGCATGTATAAAGTGTATATCAATATATGTATATGTCTGTATTTATATATAAATATATATGTGTGTGTATACAGTATATATATAAATATATATATGTGTGTGGCTGTATATGTGTTTGTTACTGCCTTTTTTATAAAAACACCTTTTAAAGACAACAGAGTCAACAACCTTTCACAACAAATCACCTTCAAATTCCAGTGAGGTCCACCCAGGTTCTAACATGTGAAGTTCTTCAGTTAACCAGGTTCAACAGTTTGTGTTTGTCTGTGGTCTTTAACAGCAGACTTTTCTTCTTCTGTATCTGTCCCAACAGATCCTGTTCACTATGGAGGAGTTCCACATAAACTCCTCATCCTTCAACTACACCGACAGAGAGGAGACAATATACGAGCAGTGCAGACACATGCCCACCGTCCTCATCTGGTACCTGACCCTGCAGTTCATCAACATGTTCCTAGGTATCCCGGCCAACCTCATGGTGCTGTGGCACATCCACAAGAACAGAAGTGACTCCTCCACCATCGACATCTATATCCTCCAGCTAGCCGTGTTAGACGTGTTCTTCTGCCTCATCCCTCCTCTTGAGCTGACCAACATCGTCTTCCTGACCACCAGCAGTACCTGGTACGTCCTTCGCTTCTTCTACGGCATGAAAGACACCTCGCCTCTGTTCCTGTCCTGCATCTGCCTGGACCGCTATATCGCCGTGCTGCATCCGATCACCTTCACCAGGCTTAAAGACCGGCAGCACAGGGCAGTCCTGGTCATAGTGGTCTGGCTCATCATTCTGGCCTACGCCGCAGCTAAATGTGTGGGCAACATCCCCAACTTTGAGAAGGTCTTCACATGGATGATTCTTGCAACATTTGCCTTCATGCTCTTCTGCAACATCGCCATCCTGTGGGCGCTACGGCAGTCTGGTCCAGGCAGAGACGAGATGCACCCCATGAAGAAGAAAGCCTTCAAATTTGTTCTCATCATCCTGGCCATCATAGTCTTCAACTACGTATTACCAGTGGCGCTGCTTTTCTGTCACGACTATTTTTCTCCAGAAGTGTTCCACTACTACATTTCCTACGTGGCCTATGGGCTGATGGACTTCAGCAGCACCATCCAGCCGGTTCTCTATCTCTCCAAGGAAAAGATACCACGGAACCTTCACTGTTGTCAACCCTAACTTGATCTCGAGTCCGAAGACGAGGTTCCCCTTTGATGCGTTCCCTTACTCCTAAATAATTAGATAATATCATGAAATACAAATGTCCACATGAAGTGGAACACAAGAGCATTTTTCTCTGGTTAGACTCCACCGTCCAAAACCCTGGAGAAGAAGACTTAGTACTCACCCTGTCGCCTCTATTCACCTCTATTCCTCTATTATGCAATTTTATTTAAAATCTTATAAGACCAGGTGTGGGCAATCTTTTTGACTCGCGGCCCACAATTCTCTTAAAATTGAACGGGGGTGGGGGCTGAGTCAGGAGCGAATAGATAAAGCGTTCATGAGAACTAAGATAAATGACATGTAAAAGTCATGCAAAAAGGCTAACATGCTGTTGTCATTTTCTACTCCAACTATTGAGGAAACGTGGGTATTGCAGGGAAGAGGCAGAAGTATAATGACAATAAAAATAAATTATATAATTTGGAAAAGTTCATCTGGCCCCAGAGCCTTAGTTTGCCCATGTCTGTATAAGACCATTACACGACACACGACAGACTTCCGAAGTCAACTAACTTTGGAATGACGCCACATTCGATGTGGCGTCATTCCAAAGTTAGTTTGATTTTACGACCATCTACTGAATCGAAGGTTACGGCGTACGTTAATATGTAGCATCATCAGCGTATGTTTCTATGTTTCTGGGCTTTGGGGAAAAGTACCTCTAAAGAACGGATGTCCAATATGTGGGTATCAACCAAACACTTAATTTCCGATTCCAATATTAACCGATACCGGTAAGTTAATGGTCTGCTCATGGTGCAAGGTGATGGGTTAAAGCCACCCCCCAGGGGTCAGAAGTTTTTTCACCTCCCCAAAATGAAATACTATTGAGTGCTTGGTAATATTTTATTTATCTGTACAAACCACCAATACCGATTCTTACAGATATTACATATTTATGCATCCCTGCTCTAAATACCATCAGCTCGCAGTAAGGCAAGAGCACTGACCGCTCTTACACTATGTGACCTGTGTAAATGTGTCGCCTTGTATCCTGCTTCCCTTCTGCAGACTTGAACGTTGGTAGAGAAAAGTACCTGAGTGAGTCAAGAGTCGATGTATTTTTAGAATACTACCAGCCTTTATTGTACAACATTGAACAAACGTGTACATCACCGTTAAATACAATCAATTCCTAGTAACAAACACTGTTAAATAAAGCTCGCTGTGCAGGAAAATTCAAACACTCACTCCCACTCGTGTCGTAGGTATTCAAAGTACGCACGTCCTGACAATACAGCCAAAGTTCATTACTGTGGCTGGAGGCCTGTCATCACGTCAGTGCAAATGCACTTGATTTGAAAACTAAAAACTACTTTATTAATGGTAAATACACGCCTCGAGGTATTTACACAAATACTATTGAGAACAGGCAGTACTGTGTATGGAAAGCTTTATACAGCAGTTTATAATTTTATAATGGTTAATTTATCTGCGTATGAATGTCTTAAATAATGTGCAGCAAACGTTTGGAAAGTTTGTTTGTATATTTACAAACAGTCGTTTTTTTTTTTGTTCCTCCTTCCTGAAAGTAAAGGGTTAATGGTTTTTGTGAAGCGTTGTGTTCTAACACTGAGATCCTTCAGTACTGGCCCACAGCCTGGACCAACAGGAGGGGGCAGGTGGGAGGGGTCTTGGCAGGTAGGGACATCTGGTGTGAAACAACTCGTGCCAGAATCATATATGGTGGTCTCAGCCAACAGGTGGCGTTAGCACACCAACCGAGGGTTTAAAACAACCCAGAGTTGTAACATTAATAATTAAGGTTGCCACAAAGTTCTGCAAACATTGTACAGTGGGTGTGGGGGAAAAAACAGTGACCTTTGTGAAAGGTCGCAGTGGATTAGGCAGATAAAACGATTTGTGTTTGGAAACCTTTTAACCCTTCATTTGTTCTGTGTTTTCTGAGGTCATAGACTGTACATAAGAAATGGACGTTAATGGAAGTGAAGCCGTTGTTCTGGAAGAAACTCTAAATGATAGACATTTCTGTAGGAAACAAAGGTGACTTTTCACTTTTAAAATATAATTTCATAGAAATATTTCTGATAATCTAATGGTCTTTTTAAGACATAGTTTAGACATCATGCTTTCAAATTTGCAATTTTATCTAATCAAACGCCTAGCTCAGGAAATTGGATTAGATCAGACTAGACTAGTCCAGGGGTGTCACTCATTTTGGTAAAAAGGTACATTAAATAAATCTTTAAAAAAAAAAAAAATCAAGTGGGCTTGTTTTGGCCCACGGGCCACATGTTTGACACCCCTGGACCAGATGCTAATGGCAGTTTGAGAGTGTCTGTGCTGGCTATATTTTAGCAACATAGCGTTGAGCATATTTCAGTTAACTGTTAACTTGTCTCTGGTAGAAACATTTACACATTTTACTCACGTTAGTCTTTTAAACACTGCAAAAACAGTTTGTGACTTGTTTATACCTACGTTTGTGAGACTGCAATCATACTTTATGCTGATTTAATTCAATAAAATGTTGAATTTATTTGAAGTAATACATTCATACTGTGGTGCAAATGGATTGGTGAGCGTCCCAGTGGGATTTAAAAATAAATTTAAAAAAAGACTTGCTACAGTACCAGAGAAGTGACGATCTGAAACGAGTGATTTAAATTACCCGGTGGGAATTCAAAAGTAGCCTTGATTTCAAACTCCAGTCACTTATGATTTAAATAGCCTTGATTTCAAACTCCAGTCACTTCTGAAGGGTAGAAAAAAGGCCAACGGGAATCTTTGAGCATTTCTTACATGCAGTTCGTGGCTGTTTGGAAAAACAGGTTGGTCAACTACCAGGTCCAGTTTCACTGCCTCAACCGCTAAAGCATCTTAGAGGCGGAAGGTTGAACTGCGCTCTCGCCGGCGCCTCCTCCGCTCCGACCCTTCAGCTCCTTGCCCCCGTGCACCTTTATCATGTGTTTCCTGAGTGAAGAGCTGTCGGTGTACGTCTTCTCGCAGAGGCTGCAGGAGATGAACCTGTCCTTGGTGTGGACCTGCTCGTGTCTCTTCAGGTGTCCAGACCTGCTGAAGCTCTTGCTGCAGTAGGTGCAGCTGTACTCCCTCTCTCCCGTGTGAGTCCTCTGGTGCAGCTTCAGGCTGCTGGCCACCGTGAACTTCTTGCCACACTCCTCGCAGCTGTAGGGCCTCTCGCCCGTGTGCATGCGCATGTGTATGGTGAGGTGGCCCGTCTGGCTGAACGTCTTCTTGCACAACTTACAGCTGTACGGTCTCTCCCCCGTGTGAATCCTGTAGTGTGTTTTGAGGTCGCCCACGCCGTTGAACCTTTTCCCGCACTGGGCGCAGCAGTACGGCTTCTCTCCGGTGTGGATCCTCTCGTGTATCCGCAGGTTTCCGGCATTGCTGAAGGACTTTCCGCACTGCTGACATTTGTAAGGCCTCTCCCCGGTGTGGGTGCGCAGGTGCACTCTGAGCTGGTTGTGTTCGTTGAAGCGTTTGTCGCAGTATGAGCAGCAGTAGGGTTTTTCTCCAGTGTGAACGCGTTTGTGAACCCGCAGCTGGCTGGGATGGGCGTAGGTTTTGCTGCAGACGTTGCAGGAGTAGGGTCGTTCGCCCGTGTGGGTGCGCTTGTGGGACTTGAGGAGGTCGGCCCGGCCGAAGCGTTTCCCGCAGTAGCTGCAGGTGTGGGCCTTCTCTGCGCTGTGAGTCTTCATGTGGATTTTCATGGTGGCTAACTGTCTGAAGGTCTTAGGGCAGGAGAGACAGCGCAGCATGTTGTCGTTGCTTTTCTTTGACTTCTTAGTGGAAACATCGGCGGAATTTTTTTCCTCATGTTTTTCAACTTCCGGCTCCACAGCCTCTGTGTGTTCTTCCTCGTCGCACATGGTCAATTCGGGAAAATAGCTCAAATCGTTCTCCTCCTTGGAAAACGTGTCATCGTTAGTGTACTGCAAAACCCCGTTGTGCTCCTCACTGGACTCCTCCACCTCCTTCTCCTCTATTTTAATGAAGTGTTCCACTTGCAGATAACCGTCAGAAACATCCTCGCTCTCACCGATTCTGGAATCTTCTTCAGACTTCGACGTCGGCAGCAGAGGCTCGTACAGATCCTGACCCTGACACGCCCCCTCTCTGCTCTCGTCTTTGATCGGCCTCATCGACAAGTTGAGAAGAGACGACGGCTGGGAGAAGTCCAGAGCGTTGTTTTCTTCTGGATCAGGCTCCGGTTTGACAGACATCAAAGTTTCCTCCGATAAACTGACGTGTGTCGGTTCTACTGTGTGATTCATCTGCAGCAGAAAGGAGGACGAGGAGGAGGCGGAGGGGCCTGCGCTGTCTCTCGTCCGGTCTCTTTGCTTCCTCCTGCTCTTCTTGTCGCTGCTGCATATGGACATCTTGAACGTGCCCTGGGTGGAGCTGATTGGCTGACCGATCCATTCTGAGGCGTTTTCCGTGGCGTCATGATCAGGTGTATCTGGGAAGAACCAAAATCAACATATGTTTTAAATCCAAATTAAGCAGCACAATGTATTTTACATCTTTCCCCAAAACAGGACTGTGGAATAATGGGACCCTAGGTTCATGGTGATTCCTAAAAATCCACATATAAACAAAAAAATGTCAAACTCATTTTGGTTCAGGGGCCACATACAGCCTGATTAGATGTTAAGTGAGCCGGACAAGTACATCATTTATATTTATAACATAATTACCTTTAAATAACAATAGGCCCATGTTTTCGCCCTTTGTTTTCATGCAAAGAAGTACAAATATATAAGAAAATATTCATATTTAACTGAATATAATTTGAAGAAAAAAAACAGACATGAAGCACTTTTTGTCCATTTCTCTTACTTTCAAAATGTATCAAGTGGGCCGAATTTGGACCGCGGACCGTATTTTTGACACCCCTAGATTTAAGAATGGATTGGAGAATGGATATTTAAAAAAGTACATCCGATGACTCAATTTAGTTCCTTGTTGTTCATTATCTATATAATGATTTTAAAACTACAAGCATAACCAATATGTCACTTTTTTCCACGGCATCACGGTTTTAATTGTTTTTTTTAATTAAAAATTAAAAATCAGTAAATGAAGATGTTTTAAATAAACAGCAGGCTAACAAACAGGTGTTTGTTTACGTCACCCTGTCGTATGTTTTTAGGCAGCACTGGGTTCTTTTACGTTGGCTCAAAGCCCACGATTTCCCGACCTGGCAGTGAGCTGTTCTGGCCAGACCTCAACCTTGTTTACACCTTCCAGGCCTCCGTACCTCTCACCGCAGGCTCCCTGCTCCTGTGTTCCAGCAGCGCCCGCCTCAGGTCCTCGTTTTCGGACTCGATCCTCTGGATGGTGACCTGATACTCGGACAGCGTCCGGTCCACGGAGTCCAGGATGTCGCCGACTGTGGCTCTGAAGATCTCATTGAGAGAAGACTCCAGGAAGCTTTTCAGGTCACTGCACGGGGCCATGTTGGACCAAGCCCCGGCGGCCGTGGTCCACTCTGAACCGCAGCGCAGCGCTGGAGGTGCGTGAAACATTAAAACACACACATTTACTCCCACACACACACACACACTCACCGGTGACTGTGTTGTGTTTCTGTCCCACTGCTGCCGTGTACGGAACTAACAAAGCAGGAGCACAGGAGGTTGACGGAAGCTGTTCTTGTTCTCACGTCGCTTGATCCTATCGCGACCTCTGGCGCGCTGGAGGAGAACTTCACCACAAAAACATTCAGTCGCACTGTATCTGCTGGAACAGATCAGGGGTTTCCCGTGTAAAAAAACAAACAAACAAATATTTGCATGGCTCTATGAACACAAACAGAGACATGTTGTCATTTATTATTTGACTTTTTAACAGTTTCACACAACAGGCAGTTAGAACTCTTAAATTAAATATCAGTGTCACATTTTCTCCATGTTAAAATAGATACAAACACAACCTGTATACAATATTCTATTAACTCTATTAATTAATTGGTACCAACTATTGCACAATATATCAGCACGTTTTAATCTGCACAAACAAACAAAACAAAACAAACAAAAAAAAAGTAAGCCCAGAGCAAAATATCTGGTCCTCCTAACTTTACTAGTAATGATTAAATATTTTTAAAAACAATATTTTATAGTACAATATTGTTACTTTAAAGTTCTTTATTATTAAAATACTTTATTATTAAAGTCAGAATCATGGTATTGGGGAAAAATACAAATGTTCTTTTTGTTTTTTTCTCTAATCTCATATATAACACATCGGATGTGTTTGTATTAGTGGCACGTCGTATTTCCTGGTGTGTTGAACTGGTTTCTAAGAAAACAATTAAAGTCAAATGGTGAACATAAATACCAGAGGGACTCTCCGGAGTATTTTTAAAATTCTGCTTCGACAGGCTGGTCTGCACACACACACACACACACACACGCACACTGAGGTGAACAGAAACTGTCCACACAGACTGTGGGTTCCTTCTGGTTGGACCACATTGCTCCATGCTGTCAGTGGCAGGGGTGGAGGCGGGCCACTCCCCTCACCTGTGTGTGCAGTATTTGTACTTGCATGCCTTCAGGACGGTGGGGCGTGGACCCAAGGCCTCTCAGGTGTCTTTGAACTCTCGAGTCATCTGCCAATGACCGTGCACCTCGTCTCCCTCCTCCTCACACCCCCATGCAGCTTTCTCCTGCTTTTACCCTCCTCTAAACTCCCCCTCCCTCCCAACCCCCCCTCTGGGCAGAGCAGTAGAGACGGAAGTGTTTACGTTTCTCCAGAGTGCACAGGCGGAAGGAGAAGGTTCTGACTATAGGCCTGGTGACTTACGTGCATCACTATGCAACACCACAGAGGCTGCTCGGCTCTGACGGGGCGGATGTGTGGCGGCTTTGTTCTGCGGAGGAGGTTCAGAAGAAGTTAGCTGTGGAGCAGCTGCACGCTGCAGTGTGTCTGTGTGACAGCGCTGTGACTCAGTCATGGTGTGTTTGTGTCTCCACCTGGACTCATGTAAACCTCTCACCTTGGTCGATCACATGATGCAGCTCTGATGAAAAGGCCTGGAGGTGGTAAGTCAATATTCAGCTGGAGATTTTCCTCCTTTTAGGGTGTTTTTTTGGGGGGTCTGAAACTGTTAAGAAGTGTTCTCTCACGGGTGTTTATGGAATGATATTTTAAGGTGGTGTTTTTTTTTTCTCCTGACTTCTTCTGTTCATTCAGTGCACAATAAGATGTTTCACAACTTTCACTTCTTCCTTTCAGTGTTCTTCTTCTGCTTTTTTATTTTTCCCTTTCCGTTGATTGATGTGCTCGTCTTCCTGTTTGCTGTGTGTCTGGCGCTCGCTTCTCTTGTAAATTTCCTTGAGGAAAACTCGTTGTATGAGTAATTATCATGACTGTGTCTATAAATATCTACAGGTTGTTGTTTTTTTTTTTTTTTACTGAAGATCAAAGTTTTGACTTTTTGTTTGAAGTTTTATTTTTAGTATAGAATTTAAAACGCACCAAATAACTTTGAACTCCCGTCAGTTATTTTCAGTTCTTTTTGTCTTGTTTTCTCCATCAACACATTGAAGATTCTGTAAGACATTTTCATATAAAACTGATGATTAAATGAGAAAAAAAAATCATGTAAAAATCCTCAAAAACCTCTTTTACTGGATATTTTATCTTCACACTTTTTCACTGTGACTGAAAGTTTTTATATTAAATTATAATAAATTTAACGCAGATAAAAATAAATTATTTGAAATATCTAAATAAATACGGTATACAGGCCAATAAACCTAAAAATATAACATTTGAAAATAATGTTATGTGCTTTTGTTTTAATACCTATAGTGTAACAATTTGGGGCCTCTTACCCCGTGTTGGTTTTTATTGTTACACACCCCCTTTTTTTTAAAAATTGAATTTGGCAGCAGTTTGTCAGTGAGTCAGTGTCAGTGTTACAGATGGTAATGTCTGCTAACACTGTTAGCTCTCTGCACAAACTCTAGCAGCCTGACAGGAACTGAGAAGTGAAAAAACACAAAGGAAATGTGGTCAAAGTCAGTCCCGGATGTTGGTTTCGTGACGTGAATAAGAATCACGAAGACAGGCAGGGTGGAAGGTAAAATCTGCCGTAACATTAAAGCTGTGTGTGCGTGTGTGTGTATAACATTAAAGCTGCCTGCGTGTGTGTGCGTGTGTGTGTGTGTGTGTGTTGTAAGCAGCGTCTTAAATGATGGTCTGGACTCTGTTGACCCTGGTGTTGCTGGAATAAACACGCCCTTTGGTTTGTGTTGAAAACACTGGGCGGCTGCATGTTTAAAAAAACCTCGGCTCAACGTCGTCCTGTCCGTCATCTGGAACCGCAGCGATAGAAAGGATAAAAAAAAAAAAAAGTTGGATGCAGACGGTTGAACTGCTCACCAGAAATAAGCACACAGCTCCACCCTGTGCTGCCTTTCTCAACACACACACATCTACGAACACACACACACACACACACACACACATGCTTCTTTCTTTCTGCCTCTTTATCTTTCAGCCCTCGTCGCTCACTCTCTCACTTTCCTGGTCTGTGGTCAGGAAGTGCACACAACATTTTGTGACATTTCATTTGGTGTCCGTTGAGCTGAACTGTTCTTTGAGGAATAACATGAATGACTCTTTCATGGACGATGCGTGGACTAAAATTCCAAATTCCAAAATTCTACATTGTTAATGTCCCTGTGTTGACCTCAGAACAGAGGATCAGAAATACCTAAGGTTTATTTTTAACGTTAAGCCTCGTGCACCTAAATTCAGGTGAATCTCTTCTTCTGTGGCGTCGCCTGATTTGGTGACAGGAGTAAATCCTACATTTCAGAACTAAATTCTTTCTTTCTTTGTTTTTGTGTGCTCAGAACTCTGGACCTCACACTGGAGTTTCTAAGAGGCTTCAGATGAACTTCGTGTAAAGAGGGAGGACATTTATAGAAAGGCAGTGACAGCATTTCTCACCACATCTTAAAACCCCCCCCCACAGCAGGACTGACTGAGAGCGATGCGATGGAGGAGGAAACCTTGTGCTCCCCTCCTCACCCGGGCCTGGAAGAGTCTCAGTCTTCCACCGACCAGCTGCACGTCAACGGAGAACAGCAGGCCCTTATTTCAAGGCGGTCGGAGCAGGAGTCGACACCGACACGTGGTGCAGCTGCACCCACTCCTGAAGGGACTGAGAAATGGGAGCAGATGATTTGGTCGGCTCGTCCGGTGACCGGTGCCGGCGTTCCTCTTCATTTCGCCACAGTGCTGTGGGACATGCCTGGTGTGTGTGGGGAGGAGCCCCCACTACTGACTGAGAGGAGCCTGGCCAATGAGCTGACGTTTTTAAACGGCACCTCCCCGTTATTTCCTCCGTCGAAGGAGGATGATGAGGCTCAGCCTCTCATAGACGAGGAGGAGGAGGAGGAGGAGGAGGAGGAGGAGGAGAGAAGAGAGGAGGAACACGAGGAGTTAGAACCACAGCAGTTGGACCCAAACCCTGAGAGTCCAGCAAACAGTCCTGAGGTAAGAAAAAGATCATGAAAGTTCTGCGTAGAGTTCCACTCACTCTGCAGCTTCAAACACATGTTTCTGGGTGACTGTGTAAGGTTGAGGACAGGTGGGGGAGGTGAGGGGGAGGAGGTATGATGTCAGTCACATGAGGAGACCGTAGAACAAATACCGGCGATCACAAGTTTGTATCTCACACCACTGGTTCTACTTATGGTCATTGCTCTGTGTCACAATCCTCAGCCATGTGACACCGCGACAGATGTGGCCGAGCCGACGACACAGGAAAAGGAAGAGTCAGAGAATCATCTGGTCGACGGTGAGGAAGACAGTTTTAAGACAGGACACAATATCAAATAGAGGAATCGTTGACAGAAAACCTGATTCTTTTGACTTTCTGTACAAACTTACAGGTTTTGAAGTCACAGCCAGACGGTCGTCAACACCTGGTCCTGACCTGGTGGAGCTAATCGCTGCTGTTGATGAGGATCAAGACTTCACAGATGAAGACAACGGTCTTGTAAGTTTCAGTCTAGAAGAGACACGAGTGGAGTCTGACCTTTCAGGAACCTCAGGAAGTCAAGACGGCTCCCTCGACAGTGATGTGACGGAAGAAGAAGAAGAAGAAGAAGAAGAAGAAGAAGAAGAAGAAGAAGAGGAGGAGGAGGAGGAGGAAGGAGAGGGGGAAGGAGAAGAGGAGCAGCCAAAGAGAAACCAGTCGGACACCGCAGAGAATCAAGAGGCAAAAACGGATGTGTAAGTTTCTTGTAAAAAAGAAAAAGGGAACAGGAAGTGTTTAGTGAGAGAAATAGTTTCACTGAATGATTCATGTCCTGATTTCACGAATGTCTCCGTCGCTGTCGTAGGGTGGGTTCTCCAGAGGCATTACAGACTGATGGAGCTGGACTAAACCCCGACCTGGGACAGGTGCCACCGTCTGAGGAAGGTCAACAGTCAGAGATCCAGGAGGACACACAAATACTGGAGCCAGAACTCAGAGGAGCCACAGTTTTGGAGACTGAAAATACCGAAATGCATAAAGATGTAGATCACGGTCCGGGATCTGAACGGCCGGAGGTCGTGGACACTGAGGAAGAGGGAGCAACAGATGCTGAGAAGGCGGAGAACTCAGAGGGAACATTGGAGATGTCGACCTCAGAGCAAGAGGAGGGAGGGGCGTCGCCTCGGTCAGAGCCGTCTGACGACCAACAGCTGGAAGTGACCAGAGCTCCTGAGCTGATACAGGAAGTCGTGCCACACGATCCATCACTAGACCGGGAGGATTCACCACTAATGGACCTGGCCGGAGACTCTGAGTCTGAACAGCCTGGTCCAGAACTCTGTGAGCAGCTCACCGAGTCAGAGAACTCAGATGAGTCAGAGACGGCAGAGCAGCTGTGCGCTGACGCCGAGGTCACGCAGCCGACGCCACAGGCTGATCCAGACCAGGTGGACCCACGGGGCAAGGTGTTAGATCAAAGCGACCAGTTAACGAGTCCTGAGGTTCAACCTGATGTGCCGTACATGAACGGAGCCCAGGTGGACAGAGATATGGCCTGCAGCCTGGCGGAGAGACTTTTTAAGTTGGATGGAATCCAACGTGTAGACGTAGTGCAGTACCTAGATAAAGAGTAAGTCGATGATTTGTTTGTAAACATATATATTTATGTGTATCTTTAAATCTGGATCGATACACATCAGAGCGAGACAAATATTAGATAAAAGTAAACCAAAATCATTTTTAAAAAATCTAAATCTTATCTAATTGGTTAAAAATATACTCAAGAGGAAGTTGATTAGCTAAATTTAGCAACATTTTTAAAAGTTAAAACATTACTCAACTGAGCTAAAGCTAATCTGTCAGCTAGGCTAGAAATAGTTTAACGATAACTAGCAATACAAAAAAAACAACTGGCTAGTGTTTAACAACATAAAGCCTAAACGATAACGAGCAAAAAAAAAAAACTGGCTAGTGTTTAACAACATAAAGTAAAATATGACAAGGTATGATTGTTGATGAATAGTTAACCCTGAAATGATTTCAAAAATAAACAAAAACATAGTAAATTTGCTATAACCATCAGGAGAATATTTGGAAATATTAGCTTGAATTAGCCAGAAGCTAACATGAGGCTTACGATGAGCTAAAAGGTAACACAGGTTTGTCAAGAACATTGAAAAATGGCTAAAACATATTACCATAATACACAATTTTATTGAAATTTAGCCAGTTATAATTAAAAATTAGCCCAAGCTAATGTCGAAGTACACTAAAAGAACTAAAAGATAACAACACAATCCAGAAAAAGAAAAACAAAAGAACTAAAAGATAACAAAACAATCCAGAAAAAAAAAAAAAGAAAAAAAAAAAAAAAACGAACTAAAATAAGATAGTATTATTCATGTAATCTTGTCAATCCATTTTGCTTTTGAAAAAAAAACTAACTAAAATAAGATACTATTATTCCTGTAATCTTGTCAATCCATTTTGCTTTTTTAAAGGTTCAGGATTCTGTTAGCTTAGCATCTTTTGTTCTCTGCCTTAAAACACTTTCTGTTTATGAACAACTGTGGTATTTTTAGCAGCTGCCTACTTCCGTCCTCTGCCTAATGATACTGAAAGATTATACTGATTATAAATATGAGACAGAGACAGAGACATGAGTGGTGGTGTCCCAGGTGAACTGCAGTCTGTAGGAACTGTTTTGCATCACATCTGAGGTCGTGAAGGGGGATTTTTTTTAAAGATGTGACTAAACTACGGGGTTTTTTACAGCTAATAACAGAAGTTATGTGTGATGTTGTCATTGCAGTTATTTAACCAAGATATCGCTATTCATTTCAGCTACGGCTCGTTCTGGGCTAGCTTAGGTAAAAAACAAATTTGTGGCTTTCCGCTGTATTTTTCATACAGTATGTTTCTAACTGACCTCACAGCTATTGGCGACTTCTTATTTATCTCATGGTAGGCTTTTAGCCTTTTTTAGGCAAACACTTAGCATTTCCGCTAAGTTTCAGCTAACTCGTAACTCGTTAAGCTAGTTTGTCACAATTCTTCTTTATTATCTTTTAACTAATTTGTGTGTGTGTGTCTTGCTTAATTTGCTTATTTAAGCTATTGCTCAGTTACCATGTATTTGTTTGTGTTTGTTTTGGCTGCCTGTTGCGTGGGTTACGCCATAACTTGCTACGTCTGCGCTTTACAAGCTTTTGGTAACAGTTTGTTTTTTTAAGTAACTACTTTGACTTGTCGTTTGTTGGCAATTTTTTGTTGCATTGAATTTTTCAATTTTGGTTGTTGTTGTTGCCCTGTTTATGGCTGATTAAAAACACATGGGATACATGTGTTTTCACAGCGTCGGCAGCGTTGCCTCAGGCCCGTGATAATTTCTCAATTAACATCTGATTTACATTTTCCACGTATGATGCAATGTTCTGAAGTATTTTTGCCGCTGGCTTCCTCTGTAGGCTGATTCATCACATTCTAAATGTAGCATGTTTTTTTTTTTGTTTAACATTGATCTCACCACATGTTGTTGACTGAGTTTTTAGATTAACAGATGGTGTTCATTTTTTTTTTCCCCCGTCAGTAATGACTACAGTCGTGTTGTCGGGGAGGAGTACCTCAAATTCTTCGACTTCACTGGGCTAACTCTGGATCAGGCTCTCAGGTTAGATTCACCTGCAGTGACTTTCTCAAATCCAAACACCTCACAGTCTAACTTTTGTTTTTTATCACTTTCCTCAGATCTTTCCTGAAGGTCGTGGTGTTGATCGGAGAGAGCCAGGAGAGGGAGCGAGTGCTGGAGCATTTCTCCTGCCGCTTCCATCACTGCAACCCCGACTCCTTCTCCTCCTCAGGTGAGCATCAGTCACTGTTCCACATTTTTGGATTCATGTTCAAAGAGGCATCAGTCACTGACCGTTGCATGTGTCGCTGTCGTGTTTATGACGATCCTCAGAGGCTGCGTTGGCTTTGACGTGTGCGTTGATGCTGCTCAACACCGACTTGCACGGACAGGTGAGATTTGTCTGTCAGAGAGATGTGTCTTGACTTAATAGGTTTTATTTAAAGGGGCAGTTGTAAATAGAAGACTGTAACGACGCAACTACTGTATTTTCCGGACTATAAGTCGCATGTTTTTCATCCTTTGGTGGGGTTGGCGGCTTATACTCAGGTGTGACTCACAGTTTATATTAGAAATATGTAATTTCACTTTTGTTATGTTCATACTGACAGCCACTAGAGGGCACTGGTGTGACTTATACTCCAGACTTATAATCTGGAAAATACATTACTCTATAAAGTATTAATAAACATTTCTGCAATTTATATACAGTATATTTATTGAGCTGAAAATTCACGTGCTGTGTCTTGTACATGTTTTACAGCATGTAGGTAAATCCATGTCCTTGTCTTGTGCATGTTTTACAGCATGTAGGTAAATCCATGTCCTCCTCCAAGTTTGTGTCCAACCTGGAAGGGATGAACGAGGGCGAGAACTTCAACAAAGACCTCTTGAAGGTAAATAGTGACGACACAAAGGCGGTTTCAGATCGGTTGTTATACTGCATTGATGCTATGGTGCTGACGTTTCCTTCATCTTTTGTCTTGTAGAGTCTTTATAATTCCATTAAGAACGAACCGCTGCAGTGGGCTGTGTAAGTGCAGAACTGTCCTTTACCTTCATTTGATTCATTACTTCGGATGGATGGATGGATGGATGGATAGAATGATAGATGGATGTTGAATTACATTCAGAATTGTATATAATTGTATATATGTATAAAGCAAAATAAGAATAATTTAAAAAGGGGTTTAAGTTCAAATAGTTCAAATAAACATATATATAGGCAGTTCCAGCAGATATATATAGTGTATGAAACAAAACTTACTAACTTACTACTGTACTAAACAGTGACGATGAGGAGTTGAGGAGGTCAGTGTTAGCTGATGAAAGTGCAGGAGACGACAGCGACATCCTGCTGCTCTCCAAAGACAACCCTTTCCAGGTGGTTTCTCATGATAAAAATGCCTCCGTGATCAAAGAAGGATTTCTCCAGAGGAAACTTCACGCTGACGTCGATGGCAAACGCAGTGAGTCTGGTTTAGTCTGTCTTAAACTTAACATTCAAAGGTACATTTGACCTGATTAGTATGTGCGCTGGATTATCTAGTTAAATTTTTTTTTTTCATTTGGTTAACCTTAGCTTTGTGCTATATTTATATTTGTCTTATATCTGGCCGTAACCTTACTATTTTGGCTGAAATATATTTTTCTTACTTTTCTGTATTCAGTATTTTTCACTTCAGCTAAATTTAAGTTGTATTTTGGCTAATGTTAAGAAATGTATGCTAAATCTCTAGCTAATGTTATCATTTTAAGCTACCTAATGCCTAGCTTTTTTTTAGCATTTGACTAAATTTTAGTTACTATTACATTATAATATGCTATTTTTCATGTTTCAGCTGCAATGAGATTTTCCACTTGATGCTAATCCTGCTAATTCCTTGGGTACAACTTTGAGTAGCGCTTAGCAATCTTTTAGCTAATCTTGAATTAGTTTTGACTAACTGTTAGCTACTCAGGTTTAACCTTTGGTGAAATAGATTATGTTTGGACACAAACCTTTTTACTAAAATAGTATTTATTTTTCTCTTGACTATTGCTAAGCTACTTTTAGCTGCCTCTGCTAAGTCTTAACCTTTTCCTGCCCTTTGACACAGGTGTTTTGGTATTTGTTTGTCAAACTTTATTTTTTAATTGTGATGCCTGGACATTATTTACTGTCTGATCTTTACATACGTGTTCACCCTAAACTGCAGCTCCATGGGGTAAAAGAGGCTGGAAGACATTTTATGGAGTTCTGAGAGGAATGGTTCTTTACTTACAGAAGGTCAGTGTCTCAACCACAGATTATGTTTTTTGGCTTCCAGAACAAAATGTATTGATGCGTCATATTTGTGATTTTTGTCAGAATGACTACAGGAGAGAGCAGCAGACGACTGAGGATGTGCTGAGTGTCCATCATTCTCTGGCCGAGCGGGCGACAGATTACACCAAGAAGCCGCACGTGTTCCGTTTGCAGACGGCCGATTGGAGGGTTTTCCTCTTTCAGGCCTCGTAAGTCATTTGTGTGTGTTTTTTAGCCAATCGTGTCAGTCCATCATGTCCACAACTCTACTTGTTTGCCGCTCAGTTCTAAGGTAGAGATGAACTCATGGATCAGTCGCCTCAACCTGGTGTCGGCTCTTCACTCATCGCCTCCGTTTCCTGCTGCTGTCGGCTCCCAGAGGAAGTTCTTCAGGCCGATTCTTCCTGCCTCGCTGTCTGCTCACACTCTGGTAATAATGATTTCTTTTATATTTATCTTTTCAAATAAGATAAGAAATGCAATAAAAAATTATATTTTAGAAATGTAATGACTTGTAATGACTTGAAGTTTAGGAATAAAATGTAAACAGATTGACTTCTGTTTACATTTTATTCCTAGACAAGAGGGCGACATGACAACAGCCTGAAAACAACTAAAAGAATGTATAACATCTGTAAAATATTTCCTAAGGCGTTGATGGTTCAAACCTGCCCTGATTGACCCCAGGCTGGACTTTTGACTTGCTTGATATTTACTATCGCTCTCGGGTGAACTCACAGTCCCAGTTGATGATGATCTACATGTCTCCAGGACTTGGATGAAGCCTCCTGTTTTTTCTTCTTCACAGGAGCGTCAGCTGCAGTCTTACACAGGAATGTTAGAGTCCTTCAGGACGGACCTGTCATACCTGCAGCAAAACTGTTCCGAGGGTAAAAAAGTCAAAGCTAAAGAGCTGGAGGAGCTTCGCGTCAGAGAGGAGTACCTGCACTATGAGGTAGGAGTGATGATGATGCAATTGAGGAAATGTTTTTATTATCTGAGGGATGGAAGAACAACCAATCACCCTGCGTCTTTCTCTCAAAAACCCTGAAGATCTGTCGATACGAGATCTACACCAGGGTGCTGGAGGGCTGGAAGAAACTGGAGGAAACTGGCCACAACGTGCTGGTCAGCACGGAGCTGCACCTGTTTGATAAAGAGGTTTGTGTAGAGTCTGTGGGGGATGAAGAAGACGTGGAAGGAGGGCTGAAAAAGTCCCACTCCAGTCCTTCTCTGAAGCTGGAGCTGGCTCCTCCTACTATCAAAGTCAAACGCAACATTTCTGAAAGACGGACTTATCGCAGGACCATCGTCCCCCGCAATAAAGACAAGTGAATTATATATTTTTTTTATTCAGAAAACAGTATGTTTTCTTTGAGAGATTTTTCTGCATTTCTATTTTATGCACTTTTTTTTAAAAAAAAAAAAGAACCTCAGGAAATTTCAGACTCAAAGTAGAGTAAAGACCTGAAACTTTGGTTGAAAGACTTGAAGTATAATTTATATTTGATTATTCTTTTTATTTGTTGTAGTTACAGTTTTGTCTGTTACTGGAAGAATAATAATGCCATACTTGGGGCTACGACTGTGCTTGTATAATATGAACCACAAGAGGGAGCTATTGTTCAGTACATGAGTGAGAAAAAGCATGCCGTAACTAAAAGTTACATTCTGCATTTCTTTGCACAGTTTTTTTTACTGTTATTTTATTGTTCATTACCTTTTGTTCTCACTGTTAAGACTGTTACACATTGTGTTCATATGAAGGGTTTATGTTTTAATAAGTGCTATTTTTTATTTGGGAAAAAATCAGATATTTCACCCTCTAATGTAGATTCTGGTTTAAAAAACATTTTGTAGAGACAGTATGCGATCAACAGAAGGCATGTTGAGACAGAATACGACAAAATAAAACAAATATAATAAAATATACCAATTTAGTTTTTGGTTTGGGGAACATACTTTTGAAACAACCCAAATCTCTCAAGTTCCGGAAAACTGTCTCACAAATTACTTTGATTGGCTGGTTTTGTTAAATGGGCCAATCACGTTTTAGCATGGCCGGAATTTACCAGATTTCTTCCTGACAGTGTTGTGAGATGTACTTGTTTACAACAGTAATGTTTACATTTCTTATGACGGGTAAAATTGTTGTCATTTGCAAGTTGAGGTGAGTTAAAAGTTTATTCAGACCATTTTTTGTTTCACGAAAAAATGTAAACACATCGGAAAGTTGTTTTAAGGCTCAAATACATTTAAATGAGCACTTAGCCTTAAACGGATATATGTACATATCTTCGTCACACAATTGAAAGTGACTTTTTGGAATATGTTGCTTGTGGTTTTTATATTTTATGTCAAATAAAGCAAAAATACACGTATGTGGGATTATCTGTTGATAAATATCTCGACTTGTGTAACTTTTAAACGACGGATGTGATAACACGGCCAAGTAGCGGCAGGGCACCGCCAGTTCGCGGGTCATAAAATCGTAAAGCATTGTGGGAGATTGAGTTTATCGTCAATATACGTTCCATCGATAGACCTTCATGCTACAGCAGTTATACGCCTTTTAGTCTCTGTGTGGTGGATTTAAAATGAAGTAACGAATCCACTAAATTCTGACGTTGTTATAATTGTTTTTATTTATTTATTTACACATATTTATTGACTGTGTCACAGTCACAGAGTTCACTTACACATATATAACATTACAAAAGATGAATGTGATTGTAGAATATCTAGAACGTGACACACAGCACATACAATTCGCTTTGTAAGAATATAAATTTGATACCAGAAGTTTATTATTAATTTATGTAATTCATTTCAAAATGATAAAGTCTGTGGTCAATCATGTTAAGTTAATAAGAGACACAGAACAGATGTTGGAAATTGTGACAGTTTGTCAGAAAGTGCTGGAACGGCGAGATATATTTTCTCAGTCCTGGAGCCTCTTGTTTGCCTTTCTGTTGGAGGTTTCTCACCTGGATGACCAGAGCATCGGGGGGAACTCATTATCTGATCATCTGTAGTCATAATGCTCAACTTGTCCTCTGAATGGAAGCAGGCTTCATTCATTCAACAGAATAACAAAAGCTTATTTAGATAAAGTCAGATTCTGCAGATGAGAATGATTGATGGGCTGTGTGACTGACAGGGGCCCTGGGGCCACGGCATCACCTTCAGTGGGCTGGGAGGTGTGGCGATGTCAGCCGACCTATTAGACTGTTGCAGAAGGAAGATCTACAGGAAGTAGATCTGAATATCTATGAGGATTGTGTAAAATCTCTATTGTTGACATAATTTTATTAAGTTGGGGGAAATTGTGTAAATTGTGTAAATGCCTAACTTAACACAGATTAATATTATTTGTCTATATTGTTTTCATTTATTTAACTGATCTCAGTTATAGAATGTGAGTGTGTTTTATTGAAACCATGCTGTGAGTGTTTATATAAATGTTCCTTTTTTTTTTTCCCCCTGTGTCGGGATGTTGGTTGAAGGAAAGGCGTTTAGCTTCTACCTCACTCATGGTCCGTGGACCTTGACGTGAGTTGTGTAAAACAGGCTGGTGGCCCAGTGTGTGAGCACCACTTGTCTTTTCCCCCCGTGTCTCCACCTCTCCAACAACATCCACAACAATAACAATAATAATAATGAGTGACTGGAGCAGCAGGGGCTGCATTAGCAGCTGGGTTCAGAGGTTCAGCCTTTCTATGGAATCGTCCTGTTTTTGTTCCGTGCGCGCCACCACATTCTCCAGCTTTGTGCTCCTCGGTCAGGCCTGGCTGGGTAATTAAAAAGGCAAGAGCTGAAGTTGTGATCATTAGGGCCTTGTCCAGCATGGGCGCCCAAAAGAAAGGTCTTGACACGTAGGGTCACTTCTGCCCCTCACTTTTTCACCGAGCTCTCCTCCCCCTGATGTTCAACATTGTTCAAAAACATACGCTCTGTTCTCCTGCCATCACTTCTGTCTGGTTTTCATTTTTCTTGTTTTGTACCATCACTGTGATACATTTTTCTTGTTGAAGCATTAAGAACTTCCTTCTTCTTCTACTCTCTTCTTTTTTGTTGGTGTCTCTAAACTGCTGCGTTGGGATAAATTCCTCTTCTTCCAGGACTCTTGAAGTCTCTTCAAAGTCCTTCCAGGAAGAGGTTTGTTTTCCCACTCGGACTCCACTCGCCTCTTGACTCAGACGCTGGCTCAACTTTTATTCTCTCCTCTGATGTTCATTTCTTTCACTGCTGTACTAAACATGTATTTTCATTTTGTATATTAGTGTCATTTTTTTCAAATGATGAAAACATTACTCTTCATAAACTGTATATATCAATGTCAAACATGTTCTGGAGACAACAATACTTTAAATGGAACACATCACACACCAAATGTGCAAAGGGAAAAAAATATTAATTCCAGTCTAATTTAGAAACATAAGAATTAGTTGAGAAACTAATATAGTTTAATGTGAAAATACAAAAGATCATTAATCACAGTTTATAAAAAGGGAACAGTTTTAAAATAAATACAGTAGGTAATGAGACAGTCAGCGATAGCTAAAAAGCTATAAGCTAACCAGATCCTGCCCACTCCTCCTCAAACCGTCAATCATGTAGATGGTGAAGGTATCTTCTGTGTTCTTCATCCTCAGCAGGCGAGCAGACATCGATTAGTCTTCATTCTCCATCTACTGAGTCATCTTTTTTCAGTGTTATGGCAGGAGCCTGAGCCAATCCCAGCAGTCACTGGGCGATGGCGACGGACAGTCCCCTCTACAGTTCACTAGTCCATCATGGGGAGAGAGATAGAGACAAACAACCATTCAAACATTCACATCTGTGGTCGGTTTTTGACCGTGGGACACAAAAGTTCTGTCCTAAACAGATTCTGCAACAAACTGTCACTTACTGTTTTTACAACTCTGAAATACTTTTATATATTGGCCTCGACAGAGGTGGTTGAACTTTTGAGCCCCACATTGGTATTTTATTTTTATAGTGATTTATTTACTTAAGTTTATGAAGTTTTTATGTACATGTCCTGGTATTTTATTGTATTAAGCAGTACAATATTTTTTCTCTGTTGATTGTTTAAAGTGCTGTACAAATAAGAGAGGATTTGATTGGAGGGAAACTCAGTTAATGATTGGCTGGCCTTCTTAGTGGTTTCTTAGTCTGACTGATATGTTTATATATATATATATAGTTGCCAATCAGATCTAGCACCAACATGACATGTGAAGTTCTGTAGATTCTGTCACACCTGAGCTTCTCTGCGCTGCCAAGACACACAGTAGCAGCAGAGACTCAGATTCAAAGAGTCACAGAGTGCCTTTTGCTTTAGGGCTTTTTCTTTAAAAAAAAAACAACAAAAAACCTGTGACCTCCCAGTGCCCTCACACACACACACACACACACACACACACAGCCTCTGACGACTCTCCTCGGGCACAGGCTCTTTAACATGCAGGACAAACACGATGGATAGCATCTCAAAGTGGACACACAACAGGTTAATGCGAGGCGTAGGGCAGAGCAAAGAATTTCAGCCACCTTATCTCCTCCGTCTTATCTTCAGACATCTCCCACCTCGGACCGAAATCGCTCCTTAATATTTACATCTTTCTGTGCCCACTCATATTTAATGGGCTGTGAGCACACATCAGAACAATGGATGAGTGTATGTGACATTGAATGAGCTGTTTGTCAGCACCGGTGTTTGACTCCCCTGTGGCCTCCGCGGGTCAACCTCCCGCCTCAGGGCAGTACCTGATACCTGCCAGATTTTATCCACCTCGGTGTGTGTGTGTGTGTATGTGTAGTGTTGAATGTGTGTGCCCCGAGAGGTGTGTTTTTCTTGATGTCTCCCGGTCAATAGTAGCTTCCTGCCTGCGGGGGCCCGTGTGTTGTTTAATAGGCCGCTGTGACACAGGGCACCTGTGTTTCCTGCCTGACAGAAATGCTCTGTGTTGGTCCACTTTGCTCCGTGTGACTGGCACGTTTGTTCCTTGGTGGTTAAAAGTGGGGAGATAAGATACGTCCCTGAAATCCGAGGACGTTGTTGTCATTTGAAGTCCGCTCAGGTGTTCCTCGGCCTTTTCCTGGCCTGTGATTAGTAGAATAGGAACCCCTTTATTAGACCCCCACCCCTGCTTCCCAATAGAGGAAATTTACCATGTAACAGCAACATGGACAGACAAGAGAATAAGATGTGTCTCAAGTGAGAAGTTTTGACCATTTCTTTGACGACTGGTGTCAATTTGTTAATATAGAGATAAATCGATCAATTATTGTATTCACCAAAAATACTAGTGTTTCTAGAAATGCTCTGCGTAAAAGTATTCTTTCAAATAGTTCTAACAGGTTTGCTATGAATTATAACTGGTAACACAATCTGAGATGGGATTTTTTTTTTTTTTTGTTCAGTCTGCTGAGCCTCTCGTTATTCCAGGTGACTAATCCGTCCTCTTCATCTAAGAAGAGACTCTCTGTCTTTGTCTGACAATCATCTAACTCTGTTCACCTGCTGTTTCTACCACCTGCTCTGCTGCAGCTCATCAACTCATAAGTCTCTCAGTCTATATATGTTTTTCACCAGTAGTTCACCTGCTTGGTCTTTCTGTCCTGGAACTTTGTGATTGCTGCCTGTTGTTATGGTTGTTGTTAATTTTGAGCTTTGCTGCTCAACGTCCTGGTCATGTCTTAAATAAAAGTTTGAAGTTTTTCTACCACTCTGTAGTTTTTGGTCGTGCTTTTGGCTTCTGACAATCCTCCATGAGTAAGTGTTAAATTTGTGTCACGGATCATGTTGTGGTAGAATTTCTTTCAGCTATTTATTTTTATTAAAATTTTAGAATTTGAATTGAATGACTAGTGATTTGCAGCTCACCAGTAACAGTCCTAGTCATTTGTTTGCTGTCACTTTTTTCCTTATTTTGTGTGTCCAAAATCTTAAAGGGTCTGTGTGTTTCCTTAGTCTAGCAGTGACAAAAAATCTGTGTGTTTCCTTAGTCTAGCAGTGACCTGACTTCTTAGCCCTGTGTGTTCTTTAACTTTGTTTTATTGTTATATTTTAGCTACATTTCCCTTTATTGTTTATAGAAAACTGGAATGTGATGTTTACTAAACAAAGGTATTTTCTGGGTATTTGTTGAAATACATTTTGCAAATGTTTCATTAGTGTGTGGTTAGCTAAACTTAATTAACATTGAGTTTTTGGTTAATTTTAAATAATTCTTGGTTTAATACTTGTGCTGATTTATCATGTTGTTGTTTGGGGAAATTTGCATAATTTTAAGGAAACTTTTATTATAGTAACATTTTAATATAAATTCTTACTTGTTCTAAACAATACCTAGGATGTCTAATAACATGTTAGCTGTCCTAGCTATTTGTAAGTTGCTTGGAATGATGAGCATTATTTTCTTAACATACTTATCTTATATATCTTACACATTTTGCTGTGGAAATGTCCTGCTGATTCTCGTGTTTTGACGTTTGTCCCCTTTGGCAAACCTGAAGGTTATAGGAACAGCAATTTATTTTATTTTCATTTCTGAGCTGACTTGTAAGTTTTGGTTAATCTTTTGCTAATGTTCAAACTCCAGCACTGGGGTTTTCCATACTTTTTGCTGACCTACACCTACATCTATATCACAGGTTGACGTTACACTGGGCTAGTTTGATATTTCCCCCTCCATTTTTTCAAATATGAATTATTTTATAGACACACTATGAAAAAATGTTCATGAAAATGTATCATAGACTGAAGTTTTGAAGTCTAGTGTTCTGCAGCTCATTAGGACAGAAATCTGACGTTATTGCGTTTTTTTGGGTTTTTTTTTTATTATTATTCTGATATGGATTAGTTGGACGGTGTTGTGGTTGGACGGTGTCTTGGTCCCCTAGGATTAGTTGGACGGTGTCGTGGTTGGACGGTGTCTTGGTCCCCTAGATTGGAGGGGAAGTTTCCAGATGAGTGGTGTAGGACAACTCCACCACTCATCACCCACTGATTGCCACACTCCTGCTGCCTTTTTGGCAGTGGTTTCTCCAGAGACCCTACATTCTGTCTTTGAGATTGTCCCCATTATGGTGATGGGACACGTCATCTAACACACACACACACACACTCGGTCCCTCTCACTCTTTCCATCACACATGCATTCAGAGAAAGCGTGGCTCTGTGATAGGTGTAGTAAGTCCCGATTGCCTGATCCTGCCAGCTTTGTCTGCCCTCAGCTGTTCCGGCCCGGTGCCTGTATTGTGCTGGCGGGCTCATTACCGGCAGCACTGTGGCCCGAGTCCTGCCTGCTAATGGGTCCGGAGAGAGAGTGAGACAGAGGGGGAGAGAGGGGTTATTTCTGCTGCTGTGGCAGGATAATGTTTTGTTTTTTAAACTCACTTGGCAGTGAGACTGTTAATGTTTAACGCTTGCGACCATTATGTCTCTGGCCGGCGCTCAGATGTTTGAGGAATCGGAAAGTACGGCTTTGTTGTCGAGGTCTGTCTGGTCCCTGAGAGGCACATCCGCCTAAAAGCCTCTCTATATGCATGAATGTAGATGGGCTGTGTGTGTGTGTGTGTGTGTGTGTGTGTGTGTGTGTGTGTAGTCTGCAGTCTGCATGCATGCCTGAGCAGAGAGCTGGAGAGAATGAGTGTCCAGTCCAGTTGATGGACTGGCTGTAGTGGACCAGACCACTTGGACGACGGTGAGGTGAAGCAGCAGCCGTTGTTTAAAGTTCACAGGGTGGAGCTCTGTGTACAGTGGCGTGGCCCAGGGGCAGCTGGGAATTTACGTGGATGTGACAAATTGATAAAAACCGATGATTGTGACTCAATATATTTGTCTGTGGTAATCTTAAAACTACTCTTTAGATAATGGTACATCTGGAAAAGTCAAAGAATCCATGCATTTAGGGTGAAAATATTCATATTTTGAATAAACTACAAGATGTTACATCAACTATTCTTTACCTGAACACTTTTCTATTGTTTGTAAAACTAAAATCCTTTTCTGTTAAAATCCCAATTTTACATATTTTCACACGGTTTATGTCAGTTTTCTAAATTAGTTTTTAACATTAGAACGCAATGCTAGTTGATGTGTATTATGACGCTGGCGCAAATGAAATTTATTTAGGGGAACTTGTAACTAAAGTAACTAAAAATTATATATATGTATAAAGAATAGAAGAATAAACTACTTATATTTTAACTTTTACTGGAAAAATTGGTGGAAACAAACTTACTATTATTTCTACAACTAAACATTAAAACAGCACAGAAATTAATAAAATGTAATAAAATAGTATCGACGACAACATAGTTTCTTTTTCTCAAATGTAAATTACATTTGAAAATAGATTATTCTTAGGAATATCTTAACAGTATTGTTAAAAGTAAAGGTGTTTTATTTGTCAATAACCAAAGTCTAAACCTGCAGTTTAAACCATTGAAACTCTTTAACCAACAGTCAGACAGTGATGTTCAGTGTAAATCTCTAACACTGTGGGCCAACGTTTTTATGTACTACATGGTCAATCCCTCCATCATCATCATCACTATCATCATCATCATCCGCCTCCCCATCCTGCTGCTGTGTTGGTTGGTACCAGGTGGGCCGCGGCAGCGCCGAACCATGGCCTCGTTAATGTGCTGCCATAATGAGGCCGCAAAGAGGGATGGAATAATTGCAAATAAAACTACATGATGCAGAAAATAAAAAAAAGGAAATTAAACAGATGTGGGTGTTTTCAGGATCATTAATTTTGTCCTTTTAAAATGCTGAGACCTGCAAAAAAAAAAAAAAAATATATATACACACGGAGCCACCTGTACTAACAGGTGAATAATAATAATAATAATAATTATTATTATAATATTAATGGTGATGACGATGATTCAGAAAACAGACCTGGACACGGGTAAATTTCTCATGCTTTAATTAAAATAATTCTTTAGAAATCCATTATTTACATCTGCAATAATATTAATGGGAGTATAAGAAAAAATAGTCACAGTTCTTAGCAAACCTCAGAACATCAGCATGGCAAACAAACTCAATTTATTTGAAACAAATATCTGACGCAGGCCCATTTCAAGCCCTGTTGGTTTTAGTTTCCAGGACCGGCCCCTCCCGTCACGCTGTTGTTCTCCGAGTGGAGCTGCATCACTTCCACGCAGGCCATCCGTCATTTACATTATGTACAAACTGCTAATCAGATACATTATAACTGACCGGGAGGGGCGTACACGGGTCATTTTGTTGTGATGGTGATTTAACACGTCACCCTTTTCGTTTGTCCTCAAAATCTGAATTTACAGTCAGGAACAAACCAATCAGTGGATGAATTTGCGGGCGGACAGGGATCGAGGACTGTAGTGTTAGGACAGGCTTCACAAATCAAAGAGACAACGTTTTATTTGTAAACTATGGTTCATCATAAACGAGTTGCATATCCGTGTCACTGAGTCAGTGGCGTCAAGTTGCAGGAGTGCGAGAAAACAAGTGTCTTTGGCCAAAATTAGCGTTAAAGAGCTCTGTAAATTATCAGTCCCCGGAAAACCGTGAGTCGTGTGTGTAAACGTGCATGAGACACAGTTAACTGTGGGAAATAAATAACCCAAAGCTATGACATGACGTACAAAAAAATTCTGTTGGTTGCTGGTTTTTTCAGCTTTGAGTCTCAAAGGTCTCAAGGTCACATCCAGGTCTGACTTTATGCCTTGGTCCAGGACGATGTAAAATCTCTTTAAGTCCTGTCTGGTGTAGCAGCAGTGACTCGGGGACTAGAGGTGGTCGTAGGCCGCAGCAGACGGTGGAGCAGTGCGAGAGGCTGAGCTGTAGTAATAGGGAGATCCTGCAGGGGGAGACATAGAAAGGGAGAGGAGAGTGTTGGGGTCAATTGAACATTTCTTTTTAAAGGTGGAGTATGTATGAACTTTGACAGAATAATTAGACACTTGATGTTTTGCTTTGTCTGGAAATGTTTGTTGAACGCAAATAGAACAAGTCGGTGGCAGTATTGAAACTCAGAAAATTAGAAGCTGCTGTTAAAACAAAGATATAACAATCAAACATGTTGGAACATGTTTTAGATTAACGTCGGACACCTGTCTCAAAACTTTTTGACTTAGCCTTGTTTATTCAAATCCACTGTTGTATTTTACATTATCTTTGTGCCGTCATAAATTATTTTAGTTTTCTTTCTAATGTTGCTACTGTCGAAGAGCAATTTCTATTGGTCGATTAAATTTTCTTTTCTTTTCTTAAAAAATATTAAATGTGTGTTTTATTTCTCAAAATAATAATAAAAAAAACTTCTGCAAAACCTTACAGCTCAGCGCTACAACCCAGCGAGAGGAAGCTTTGTTTGAAAATAGACTTTTTTGTGTGTAGATTTGTGGCTGCTGAAATAGAAGCGGGAGAGAGATTTTTTTTTTTTTATGTTTGTTGTTTGTTTCTGTTTGTCAGTTTGAAAAATGGCTTCGTCAATTTCTTTGTTTGTGCCGTTGTGTTTTCATACTGTTTTGCATTTACCCATTTTTTTTTTCTTCTTCTGTGTTCTGAGGTTCAAATGAAAAATTAATGGATTTTTTAAAATGTCACATGGAGTATGTAGAGTAAATGGTACCAACAGGGAGTAAACTGCACTTCACTGGTTTAGTTTGGGAGTGGAAAACCATGGGAAAAAGAAACCGTTTTTAGTCTTGTTGCTACTTAATAATCTCCGTCGTCTTCTTTTTAACGTCGCTGCTGCTCGTTAACGTTTTCAAATTGTAGATTCCAGAATGATCATCGCTTTACATCAGTCAGGAAGAAGCCACAGAAGAACAAATCTGTCGTTTAAATCAGGGTCTGTGCTAAAAAATAGGACACTGACAAGAGCCTAAGTTAGCGGCTAACTAGCTAACTTCCACTTATAAACAACAGCGCTAACGCCGTCTCCAATCTGGATTTTTTTTGTACATACTGAGTGTTTCATCTGTTTGATAAAGACTTTTGACTTGCTTTCGTTTGTACAATTTTGGCTAGCTAACAGGCTAGCTTGCTAAATAGTTGGTTTACCGTTAACATGTAGGGCTTATTAATCCAAACAGCATTTTATGAACGCCCTAGAGCAAATTAAAAGATATAAAAAGTTATGTTTTTTTAGTTGGACTAATGCGCAGAATTCTACAAGTGTAAGTCAAAAAGTTCTAAGATTGGTAGTTTTTTAATTTTTTTTATTAAACCCACACCTTAGGTGTTGCAAACAAGTTTTTACAATTTTTGTTATTTTGTTTCTCGTACGTCTGAACACAATGTTTAGTTTTGAAAACAATACTTCCGGGCGTTGCGTACTCACCCAGTATACTGGAGTTGGTGAACCTCCAGGCTTCACTGTAGGGAGTGTAGGGTGAGTGGCTGTACGACTGACCGCTGTAGTCGGCACCTGCTGAAACAGACAGAAAATACCAACCTTTATCAAACACTGAGGTAAACACCGACACACACACTCACCGACCAAAGGGTCGTTATGAACGGGAAAATGATAAGTCATGGCCCAGAGCTGGACAGAAGTGTGTGTGTGTGTGTGTGTGTGTGTGTGTGTACATCTGCTCAGCCTTTGCTCATAATTCACCACAGTTAGTGCAGCCTGTAAACCATTAATCTGTGGTGCAGGTGGAGGGTTGAGGGTGAAATCCCTCAGCCCAGTGGTGCGTGCATGCAGCTCACCCTCAGCGCCCTCTCTCCTCAGCCCTCTGCCCCTTGTCTCGCTCACCTCCTCCTCCTCCTCCTCCTCTTCTTCGGCTGTTCTACACTTCCTTCTTTCTGCCCCTGCTCCTCCGCCTCCTCCTCCTTTTAATTTCTCCCTTTCTATTTTTTTAACATTCCAAAATCTAATTGGTAATTATACCAGCTGGAATGAATCCCAGAGCCCCCCCCCTCCACCCCATCCACATCCACCACCACCTTCTCCTTCATCTCCTCCTCCTCCTCCTTCTCCTTCTGTCCTTAACCCCCCCCACCACCTCCTCTCTCCCAACCCGTTCGCTCAGTAATTGTGTATCAACGCTTCCTTACACAGAGCCCACCAGAAAAATAATAAATCAGACCCTCTCATTTCGCGCTTCGGAGGGCAGACTTCAAATAAAAAAAGGCACATCACACACACACACACGCACACACACAAACGTTAGTCAGACGACCGCCCTCTCTTCGTCCACGCCCACTCAGTCCAGCATCTTCCTCCTGGGCCCCCTGGTTCCCATAGAGATGGGTGGTCAGGGGTGTCTGGGCGGAGGGGGTGTGGGCAGCAGGGTGGAACCCTCTCTCGGCCAGTTTCGTGTACCCCCTGGACTCTTATGCGCCCACACACACATACACACACACACACACATGTCGTCCCCTCCCAGAGTTCAGCAGCCTGGCAAGCTACTCATTAACTCCGTCAGTTTCCCTGTTAATCTGCAACCCTCCTCTGTAGCCTCGACGTTTTCTCCTCCATCTTTTTTTTTTCGTCCCCTCCGTTCTCTCTATTTTTATTCTTTTTTTTTTCTCTTGTGACTTTATTTCAAACCTACGTCTTCATCAGCTCATAAAGACCGAAGCTGAGGGAGGTCGTTGTTTCTTACCTGCCACCATGCCTGTGATAGTCGAGGAGGAGTATCCAGTCTGTGCAGGTGAAGTGATGTGGGGGGGGTAACCCGGCAGAGTGGAGCTCACCATGTCGCGGCCTAAAAACACAAAGGCGTTTCGCAAAACAAAATCAGTAATTATAGTCGAAACTAACAGAATGTATTTATATCAATTTTTGAACCTTTTTTTAAAAAAATATTGTCTGAATTTATGGCTTATTTTCTTTCTTTTTTTTGGTTTGAATGGTACTGACTGGTACAGATATAAATGAGTAATGTTTTTTAGAATCATTTTCCTGGATCAGTTCTTCTTCCTCTTATGTGTGAAGTTTATAGAGGAATGTTAATAGAGTGTGATTGATAGAAGAGAACGGTCTCAACTTTTAAGTCGTAAATAATTATAATAATTATGAAAGTCATTAATTTGTTGAATGTTTGGGTCCCAGAACTCCCTGAAGTCAAGACGGACCAATCAAAACTTTTGAAGTAGTCCTTGATTCAGAACTGATTCAAACAAGAACTTAAATGTATGAACGCGGATGAAATGGTTTACCTGAGATGACAGACTGACTGCTGAACTGTCCGTACACTGGTGCATGATGGGAGAATGAGTTGAATGCGTTTTGAAAATGGCCGGAGCTGCAGTTGTTTGCATTGCTCCCACTAATAGAGACGGGTTTCTGAAGCGCCTGCAGTTCCACAAACGCCAGGCTGGCGGATGTCATGTTTGGCGAGGGGCACGTGCTGGTGACCTCGGGGGACATTTCCTGTTTTAGACACAGCGGCAGGGACTGCAGGGACTCTGAGGTGGTGACACAGCCAAAGAGGAGGGCGGAGGAACATGAACATGAGCATCAGTGATGGAGATGAGTGAAGTGACAAACTTAAAATAGTGCAAACAAAATACAGGAGTGATTGATGTGTCGTCAGATGAAAAAAGTGAGTTAAACAGAGATCTCCAAACGCTGTCATTCTTAGTCAAAACTATAGTATTGACTATTACCCCATAGGGTAGGACAATTAATTTAAAATAAGTAGGATTCTGATTTTGGGTGAGGTTAGCAACAGCTGAATGTTAGCTAGTGAGCTAGCTAAGCAAGGTTCAAGAATAAATAGCTTAAAGTCAAAAAATGTTTAATTGCCTACAGAATGTAGTAGCTCTAGTTGCTTAAATTTAGCCCACAAATATAAATAGCACAGAAGCTCAAAAAGTTTAGGTCTAGCAAAATCAATGGTTAAAGTTAATGAATAACCGAATGCTAAAATATATGTAAGAAAAGTGCGAAAATAATGTAATTTGTTTGGGGAACTGATGTCTGAATGTGGTCGAGTACAACGACAAAGTTCGTCCGCAGGTCAGTGTACGTTAGTAGGAGCCTCACCTGTCACCATGGTGTAGCTCTGATGGGCCGATAGGTTGCGTCCAATGCTGGAGCTGGACGTTGACAGGCTGTTCTTGGCCTCGTCTAGGCTGCCGTTGAGGAGGGACAGTGGGTACAAAGTCTGCAGATGACAAATGGAGATTAGCCATTGGACGAAAAAAGTTACACTGGTAGAATAAAAAAAAAAAATCCAATTGTTCTTTCTGGAATTACTGCTGGGATAATAAAAACGTAACTAATAGAGGCCCCGTGTTCCCCCTGGAGCTGTAGTTAAATATTAATGTCTCTGATGCTCTGTTTGTGTTTCGGTGACTTCTGCGTCGCTCTGTGTCACTGAGCAGTAGTTATTTCGCTCTTACCTGCTCGGTCTTGCTGCCGGAGGCTGAGCTGAACGAGTCCGCGGGGTAGTGGTGACGGTCAAAGCCGCAGTCCACGTGCTGCGAGGACACTGAGAAGTGATCCAATCTCATCTGTTTCCTTGGAACACCGCTGCTGCCCTGAGAGTCCACGCTGTGCCGACAGCTGTCCTGATCACCTGGAAAGACACGGGGACGGACGGAGACGGAGGAAGATGTTACGTTTGAGGAAGAAAAAAGTGTGTATTTGCAGTTAGATTAAGTCCGGTGATCACAGCGGACTACCCACAGTCCATAACTGACTGGAGATCTTGGAGATTGCAAGTCGGCGTTTCAAACTAGAAGTTTGGAATCTAAGTTGAAATAGATCCAAGAAATTAAGTTAAATCTTTAGGATTTCAAGCCTCAACCGGACTCTTTAAGTCCCCAAGATTTCAAGTGGGAATGATTGTGACTAAAAAAGGTTTGAGTCAAATATTGAGTGTTTAACATTTAAACACTCAAAACATTTGAGTTGACTCCATGTTGAGTTTCCAGAGTTTTTAACCACAGACTCAAGTCAAAAAGTCAAAAAAGGAGTTTGAGTCAAACCTCAACAGTCCCCACAGTTATAAGTCTGGGTCTAAGCTAAGTCAGAGTCAAGACTCCACGGTCCAATATGTTGTTTCGTAACAAACTCTTACTGTCATCATGACTCCTCTTGCCTTCAGTACTGGGATGGGGGATGCCCAACAGGCCACTGATGGAGTAGGTGGAACCTAAGGAATCCGACTGCGGAGACTCAGGAGGAGTGACGGCTGAACTGGGAACTGAGAGTTGACAAAAAATAAAAATAAATAAAAACATCTGACAGTGGACGTCGCCACAGAGATCACAGTGCACGTTGGTGAACAGTGGAGACTTACTCAGGGTTTGTCCTGGACTCAGACCTTTACCGTCTAGAGGAAGATTGAACGGCTGTTGGACCTTTGTTCGAATTATTCTGAGGGGAAAAACAGGAATATGATGTCAGGTGATGACTTCCTCGTGGCGTCACTCGGGGCATCGTTCACTTTCATCACCTGTTAATGGAGCTCACGCTGGGCACCGTGTCGCTGTCGCACACTCCCTCTGCTAGCAGCCGGTCCCTGATTTCCCAGGCAAACATGGTAGGGTTCTGCCTCTTGTACTCTGCGATCTTCTCCACGACTTTCGGTGTGGCCACCTTGGGTTTGGAGCCGCCGATCACACCGGGCTTGATGCTGCCCGTTTCGTAGTAGCTAAAGAAGACGGAATGATGTTAGCTTACAGGAATTAGTCGTGAGAGAACAGAGAGTTTTTTCAGAAAAGTAAACACACTCTCAGAGGTCAAAGAACACCAACAGGCTTATTAACAGATTAACAGGAAGTTGGGTAACGCGTCGGCCGGAGTGGACTCACCGCCCCAGGATCTTGCTGACGCAGCCGTGACTGACTCTGAGCTGTCGGGAGATGTCGCAGGGCCTCACGCCCTGGTGGGCCATGTCTACGATGCGTTGCCGGATCACCTCCGGTAGTGGACGGCCATTAACAAACATTCCACCTAGTTGGTTAAGACCCCCATGACCTGGGGGAAAAAGGGGGATGAACACTTATAAATGTCGAGGAACAAGATGAGTTTGTCTGTAACGCACAACCTTTGAACGACCTTTTTTTTGCCGATACTTTTTTTAGCGATCAAGTTGATAATCAAAGTATATGATGAAGCAGACTGGAAGACATCCCATCTACCCACTGATCCACATGCACGGTCGCCCTACAGATCCTAAAAAACCTCAGTAATAACGGTAAAAGAACGTGTAAAACACAGTCTCAGACCATTTGAATATTTTGGCCGGTAATAAAAAAGGAGAACAATAACATTTTGTATCACATAAAAATCTTTAAAACATCCCAAAATCACCCTCGAACCTTCATGGAATTGCACTTAAACTCTACAATAACATCATTCAAATATATATATATAAATACATACAGTGTTCCCTCTCTCTATCACAGTTCTCCTTTCACTCCCTCAATACATCGCGTATGTTTTTTTTATTCCAATCTCGCAAGAGTTTCGCTATATCGCGGTATTTTCTGGTAATTAGAAAAGGCTGTTGTAACATTTTTTTTTCTGTAATATTTTGGTTTAATGAAAATATTTAACATGAACCACTGTTGATTGAAATCCTGCCACTTAGTTTTAAAAATATAAAAATATAATGGTTTATACGGGGAAAAATTCTTTTTTTTCTTCGTCAGATCTGTTAACTTTCTCCAAAAGTGAAGTGTTTCACTGCCAACAGTTTAGTGGTTTTTCATGCTGATGAATGACCTGCAGGCTGTCACTGTCACTATTCTTATTTAAATGTCCCCTTTAAAGGGCGGAGGCTCGGTTGATGTTGTTTTCTACGGAAACTAGGAAACTCTTGAGATGAAACAACACGCGGCGAGGCCGTCGCCCTTCAATCACACCTTTGTTAAGAATTTAAAATAAAATAATAACAGAAACCTAATAAAATGAGCTACTTTTAATAAAAACATTGATTATGATATACCTAGTAATAATGTAAAAAACATAGTTATTACAGTACAATTACCTTAAAAAATGTATGTGGCAGTAAGCACTTTTTGATTGAATTGTTATATATATTTATTATAAACGCTTGTTTTTATTTATTTTATATTTTGATTCTTCAATTTTAAATAATTGTTTAATTATTGTATTATACATTTTCATATATTAAATAACGCCAGATCAGTGATGATGATGTTTATATTACTGTAAAGAAAGGCTTTAGACTCAGTTTTGTTTTTTGTTTTTTTCGTGGTAGTTAAACACAGTGGACGCGGAGCGGATTGGCTCGAATGATCTAACGCCGCCGTGACGCTGACGTCCAGCGAGGGGCACCGCTGTGTCTCCTCCACCAACCAGCACCAACCAGGGTGGTGCTGGTTGGTGCTGGTTCTCCAGGAGCCTTCACTGCTTTTCATTTAAGCCACTGAAGCTTCTTCTCTGCCTTCACCCAGGCTTTCATTTCCACATCAAACAGCAGCCCAGAGAG